TTTATTTTGTTTACAGGTACGTCTCGTTGTAGCGCCCGTGATTTTTGACATCATTCAAGTTGTGGACGGTGGGGTGTCGACAGAAATATTTCTTGGCTTTCTTCCTATTTTTCCTAGCTTGTTTACAATCATAATCAAACCATGGTTTACGTACATGAGGGTTTACAGAGGACTTAGGAATGCTTCCGTCTCCAATAACTTTTGATATATCTAGGAACATGTCTGAAAATGTCAGATGTTAATTTTTCTGATAATTGGCTTTTGTAAAGTTTCTCTGTGTCGAAGGTGGTCCGTCAGCGGGATAAATGGTTAATAGGAATTAAGTATTGTTGGAAAATGGTAACTTCCACAAATGTCATCAAAGACCGACCATTCGAATTCGGATAGCTACATTTGTTTACCAAAAAGAAATGCTCAGCTAGTTCAGCGCATGACAGAACACTGGAGACATATTGAACTCGGAGGTTGACATCACAAGATGTCCATGAGCCACTGCCTTTTTGCAATATTTAGATTTGCATAAGTTGGAGTATCTTATTACATCATAACAAATTGTTAAATATGGTAAATCTAAAGTGATGCTTTTCCATGCACTTGGCATGGCGTGCGCAGCCGATTCATAGAATCAGACCAATTCTTCCAACCACCTTGGTGAAGTAAGGGTTGAAGTCGGGTGTAGGGGAAAAGGAACATTGGTTCAGGCTCACTAACTGGTTCGGGAGTCGGAGACTCAACGTTTTTGACAGTTTTTGGTTTGGGTGGAGTCACAGACGAAGGTGTCACAGCTGTGTTCTGTGAGGAAGCGGTAGGCATTGGCTGAACAGACGACCATGTCAGATCAGTCTGGCAGTCGATAGAGATAGTTGTGACAGGAGGACGAGAGACAGCAGCAGAGTAAGAAATGGCAGAGGTGGTTGCAGTAGTACCAACAACCCTCTGTTTTGCGTCATGATGTGAGAGATTGTGTTCAACTTTGACTTTCATTATTTGTGTTTTGTGTTTCCACACAGGGCAGGATTTAGATGTGGCCATATGGTTCCCACCGCAGTTTGAACACTTCATATCATTCCTGCAGTCAGTGGCCTCATTCTTGTCAACGCAGCGGTAACAAACAGCAGAGGCATGGCAGGACTTGGATCCATGTCCGAACGCTTGGCAGGTGTAGCATCGGAGTGGATTGGGGATACACACCCCCACTCCAATGCTACATTAACCGGCTTTGATGGATTGTGGAATTTTTGAACGGGCGAAAGTGAAGAGATAGGTGTTGGTTATCAAATTCACAGATTGTTGATTCTCTACAAGGAGAGTGTCTGAAGCTTGGTGACATTCGTAACCTCTACGCAGATACTAGATTGCAAATGGATTCAATTTGATGGGTTCTTTGTCCAAAGCTTCAATTTCAAAGAATCGGCCCAATTGTCAGATCGCATGGAAGTAGTAGTAGTCAGATTCTATGTCTTCGTTTTGAACTCTTTTCCCCACCAACCAGTGTCAACAAGGACAGTCTTATGCTGTAGCGGATATCCAACCTGCAAAGACCGAGGATAAAATTGCGTCCCTTGGGCACGTCAGAACCCTATGATTGTGGGTTTGAATCCTGGTTCGCCCCGATCATGTTTCTAGGTTTGTTAGCACCATACCCAAGCTCGTGGGTTTCACCGAAGTGGTAAACGTCTGAGACCTGCATAACTTCGGGCTTTCCTCCCACATTAAGCTGACATGCTGCGATGTAACTGGTATACTGTTAAATGTGGCGTTAAACCCAACTCACTCAGTGTTTACGAAACTAAACATATCTTGTCTTCGACATATACTACGCAAAATCTTATTGGCATGTCTTCAATAGCTTGCTCAAGGCAATGGTGACTTTATACATGTCTGTCCTGGAAATCTTGTGTAAGAGAATACTTTAACTGTTTGACCTTGATATCTTGACGAAAGGTAACAATCCCGTTAACACGTGTAAATACGTTAAGACAAGGTAAATTGTGCCAGAGAGACAAGTTTATTCAATAATATTTGACCTAAAGTACTTAAAGTACAACACTGATACAACACAACATGAATATATCAATATGATCTTTTTACAAAACAGTCAGTACATCTTCTTAACGAAAGAAAGTGTAACATTAAACAGTAACATTTCAAATGTAAGGAAGATATGTATGGATGTCAACTTCTTTATTATGAGGAACACAATGTTTCACAAAGAAGACTATATACATCAGGAGACACTAGCCAGCCATGAATCTGGACCAGGAACCTATCAACCTTGTGCTTGGGACTTATTGCTTTGATCTTTGTTGGTGCTAATCACCTAGCTTGCTTCTATTTGCCCTTTGATATGTCCATTCTCTCACCTATCAGTACTTATTACCCCCAGGCTCCCGTTTGCCCAGTGTCCATTACCTATTATTTATCTGTGATACTTTAGTACTGGCTTCCATACTATCAGAGCTAATTACTGTAAAGTGTTGGCTTCCACTGTCTATTGCTAATCACCTATTAGCGCCAATCATCTGTTGGCTTCCCTTGTCAGTTTCTACTCTTTGTTATTTTCCACCTTTTGTTATCTTGTTAATTGTGTTGTCCTTACATGTACATCTATATGCTCTCTGCCTCACGGCATTTATTCACCTGATGAAGGAGTAAGCATATACTCCGAAACGTTGTGTTCTTCATAATAAAGAAGTTGACATCCATATATTATGTTCCCTATGTGTATGACTTCTAAATGCCTTTCACAGACCTGATTTCAGATGTGGTTTAAACATATTTTTATTTCAAAAGAAATCTGGATTGGTAAACAAGCAAAACTTGCCTTTGTAAATGCCTCTCCAGGTAATAACTTTTACAACAGCTGGTTATATATAAGATTATATGTAAGATAGTGCTAAACATAAACATACTAAATGCACAAATGAAATATATGAAGCCAATACAAGTGAAATAAAATAATTCAGTTATCCATTACAATATGCATAAAATTAGACTACTCGAAAATCAGATGTTGTCATTAGACCAGAATACTTGTTCGCTCAAAAACAATTAACCTCTGTCAACATCTATTAAAAAAACATCAATATCCTTCTCACAAGATTCTGAATTGACAAAATGTCTGGTAATAGAGAAAGATACAGTTCAGGTTAAAGTTATGACTTTGATTTACAATAATAGCTAAGACTACTAAATATTGCACACGCTACATAAATATTCCCACAAATACTTGAATGTTAACATTATCCTTTGCAATCCAAATGTAAATGTCTTACCGGAGATACCCATTCATGTTTACCATCATAATTTTTAAATATGAGGTACAATGTATGTACTTTTTCAATGGCATCATAACATTTTCTTCACCTTTAAAGTAACAAAGGTGCACGTTCACAGGACAGATGTTACAAGCTGTTGTAAATGATGTATACAAATTTTGTTTGAACAATTTATACACAGATTGGATTTTGAAGCTTTAATAGCAACATGTTTACACGCTACTGACCACGTGCATTTTGAGTAAAACATAACAACCAAACACGAATGGTACCTTGACCGAAGCATTTCCATAAATCCATCTAACCTGTTTTGCAATTACATGTATACCTCCATTTACACACGCAGTTATGCATATGTTTGTTTTAATAATATTGACCTCCAATTTCAAACAGAACCGGAAACTGTGGCATCCCGTTGCAAGGATGTTAAGACAACATCACAATGTTAATAGAAACGTTGGGACAACATTATACAGGTTAGTTGGTTGACACTGACATTCATCGAGACCAATACGGCCCTATGCGGTCACATGATCCGACTACGGGAGATTGAGTGCACGTGGTTATGATTTGACGTTACCGACCCCATGGGTGGCGCAAGATACATTCACAGTTTCAAGAATACCTGGTATTTTCACTACCGGAATTCGTAAACACATGCTCATGATACAGTCGGAATCCTACAATGGACTCTGCTTGGGAGTAAATATAATGCAAGTCTTCACAGAGCAGTACATGCCTAAAAACTTCACACTTGTGCTCACGATCATATGATTTGTGTTCATACCGAGCCAGATAATTATAACAACACTACAGTGACCAATATGACGTTGTCAGATATATTATGACGACCCGCTGAAACGTCTTATATCAGCTATTTAACATAATATGTACGTATGAATACAACTGTTCTTAAAAGTTAACTTAAATTTTCAAAACTAAATCAGAAATCTATCAACATTATAGTAAACTATGTCTTGAGTTCCATAACGAGCCAGAGGCATTCAACTCGACTGCTATGAATAGAGGGTGAGAGAGAGAAACTGCAACGTTACATTTAATTATATTGTCCAGTTGTGTATTACAATAATTACGACCGTTTGGTGACTTCACTGTCCTAAGTTTATCGCAAGAGCAGACGGAGGTCGGATAGTCATTATCGGTTACCTTGCTGATTGCACTTCGTCGTATTCTAATGCCTAAAGCGTTGGGTTGTTGGCTGAGGTGTTGCTGATTTAAAAATAGTGCCATGGTTCTGTTGCTAACCTGGATACGTGGTCAGAAGTCTTAAATGACAACAAAGCCAGCCACTTGACACAAAAGCAATGATAGGAATGGTATATACTTTGATACAAATTATGGATCAAGATTCTGTCAGGTTATACACTCCAATCTCAGGCTTGGCTGCAGTGATCTTAACGCCAGCAAATTTGCCAGATTTATATCCGACAGCCCGAGATGTCGTTGTGGCTCTCATACGGAAGATGCACTTCATTTCTTTCTTAAGTGTCCCTTAAACAGTACAGTAAGGCAAAACATGTACTATTTCGTAAAACGCTACGATTTAAATTCAATTCTAATTGGTAATTCAAATTTAACGACAGTAACAAATCTTGAAATTTTGAAATCGGTGCACAGTTTTATTCTATCTTCTTGCCGATTTTGAGATTTTGTCTGAGATGTTGGCTTTGCTATATGATACTGCGATGTTGTTTTGCTGAATGTAAATAATAATGTAACTGTAGTTATGGAAGATAATCCAGTAATGAAACACTTACAGAACAATACTTATCTTTAATGCCAATTATACAATGTATGCTATGTCTCATGTCACTTTCAATACATAGCTATTTGTATACGTATCATGTTTGGGAGAGGCATTCAGATAAGCAAAATTTGCTTGTTTGCCAATCCCTCCACTTGGAATAAATATGTTTATATCACATAATCTAACAAGAGAAACGTTTTAAGAAAATTGAACGAGATTATATTTCACATTCTCTAACGAAATGAGTGACTTTTGTCTTATCCTCTAATACTTTGTAGTACGACGCAGGAACAGAAAGGAGAGTTGCGTCCGTCAAGTCGCATCTGGCTTTGGAGGGAGTCCAGTCTGCTGACCGGCAGACAAATGCGCTTTTGGTGCAGTTGTCCATGCACTGTTGTTTTGACAGTGTGGTGTGGACAACCCTGTTGTAGCGCGAGATGTAGATACCGCGTACTTCAGTGTAGTGAGAGCCGTACGTTGTGCAGGCTGTAATGAGATGTTAGGTCGTTTTTCCGGACAATATATTACGTCAACGCTAGATAATAATAGGCTTGATATGCCGAAGCAGATTCCATAAGTTCTTTACAACGACGCTTTTGAGAAACATCTTTTTCCTTCTCCCTCAGAACACTGTGTAGTCGTATGTTATGTACTATTATGTTGCTGTTATGGTTAAAACAGGGTGGGATGGTTTAATTAGGGTGGGATTAATGTATAATGTGCAACAATGTAGGATGCATCTACCAAGTTAGCGAGACTGAGACGACTAACGGGATCGGGTTGTCAGAATCAGTGACTTGGCTGATGGATGTCATCGTATCCCAATTGCATAGATCGATGCGCATGATGTCAATAACTTGATTATCCTATCCAGATTTGATTATTTTACAGTCCGCTGTTATATCGCTCGACCGCCTCCGTGGTAGAGCGTCCTGTCGTTTTTGGTTTGTTGTTTAACGCCTCACTCAGCAATATTGTAGTTATATGACGGAGGTCTGTTAAATAATCGAGTCTGGACCAGACAGTCCAGTGATTAATATCATCAGCATCGATCCACGCAATTTGGTCTGACACCCGATCCCATTAGTCGCCTCTTACGACAAGTATAGTCGCCTTTTACTGCAAGCGTCCAGTCGGAGAGCTGAAGGTCGGTGGTTCGATCCCGGGCCGCATCATACCAAAAGACATTGAAAATAGTGCTTGTTGTTACCCTGCCTGGCGCTATGTTTTACGGGGCCAAATCAAGGACTATTCGTCTCGGAGTCAGTATACTGTTTGTGTTGGGTATTCATGTATTCGGCGGCATGGTATCTCAGTGGGCTTGCACTTTTAAAAACCGCTTTAGTCCGGACTAGTACAAACAGCCACACACACACGTGCATGAACGTCGCTATATAAGTGTAATTATCCTGAAGGCAAAGTGAAACCCTATTTCACCTCACCTCACCGATTATTGCACAATACGGCGATAAAACAGCAAACACATTTATCACTTTTGATGTCGGATGTTCGGGTAGATATTCCTAGGTTTATGAATAAAAAGATATACCGGTTGTTAATGTACAGAGTAGGATGATACACTTACTTGTATTGCAGGACGCCGACTGTGGTGAGAAGGAAAGCCCTGGGTCACACATGCACTCGGAGTTGACACAGACAGAGCGTGGCACGGAACACTCTGTGTTGTTCTGACATGAAGACCCAATGAAGCCTAACGCTGAAAGAGAAGACATGTATCCTTGAGTTTACATCTGAGGTTTTGTGGCGATGCACTGAATGTTTCATTCACCACAACTTCAGAAATATGATGCAGTCCATTTGATCAATATATTTTGCAGTACATGTGTGCCATATTTGACGATGATATAGGACCTCCACGACCATGCTATATATGAACATAACATCAAATCATTTGAGTTAGATTATAAACGTCAAGCTAAAATCAAAAGAAATGTAAATCCCCATTGACCCTAGCATGGTTATTTTACTGTTCATCGTTGACAGGTTTTTATTTAGTCTAAATATATGTATTATTAATGTACTTCTCGTCACGATGTGGCTGAAATACTGCCGATGTGACGTTAAATCATAACTCACTCACTCACTCAAAATCTTAACTCACTCACTCACTCAACAAAACAAAACGAACATAATAGCATACGCCAACGCCAGAGAATTGGCAGTCTCGATTATCCGCCGAAACAGATTCCATTGGAAGTAAATGGCAAAATATACTGTGAAAATTATATGGATGGATCACTGAAAATCAGGGGTTACCCGGGCGTTCGCGAAAAGGGTAAGAAACACTTTTTATGGTGTGTGAATCAATCAGTGTGAAGAGTGAGCAACGTTGCATCAGCATTGCTTCAGTCATATAGCGACGAGACCAAGTTAATTTATTCATAATTTAGTAATTTTAAAAAGTAATATTTCAAAACAATTCATGAAACACATTTGAGCATACCATATTTAAAAACAATTTAAGAAATATATTTGAGCATAACAATAGCATGTATACAGTTTTAAAACATGGGCTACATGCAACCAGTAACAGTACCTCTGCTTCCTGCATGATACCCTAGCAGGATTTACGTCATCCCTTTAGCCACTCGTGGTTGTGCACAATGCTAACCAATATTAAAAAATACTCAGCAGTGAGTTGGCTTAAAAACAATAATTTTATGGTACTTTAACCCCCTTCAATAAAGTCAGTTGATAATAACATCACACCAAATTTAAACACAAGCATTTAATTATTCACATACATATTTAAAATTAATGTATAATAAATTTAAAATATCTATGTGAATAATTAAATGCTCCTTTCAAATAGCTGATGATAAGATGCCCACTGACACAGGAAAATAGATCAGAAAGATTTACGCAAAGTCCACACAGTCAAGCAATATATGCTTGACGGCGCTTGACGGTGAAGCCTGTATCACAAGGGATACACTTGGGAGGTTCGTCCTCATCTGTCTTATGCAGATATTCGTGTGTAAACCGATGGTGGCCAATACGACACCGTCGTGAAACGACCTCGTCCTTGTCTTGACTGTAAACCCAAGTAGGTTTGACCGATTGTTTGTTTTAATTCGTGAGGTTATATTGCTTCCTACCTTGGTGTCCCACCTCTTTTGCATAGATCCCGAGTATAACTTTTAATAGTTGGTTTGAAATCGCTGCACGGGATAAGCAGTGGAGATAACGGTTTGTCAAGAGCTGCTTTAGCTGCAGCGTCAGCTTTTCAGTTACCTGTTATGCCTACACGACTTGGTAAGAATCAATAAGAAGACGGGAAATAATTGTAATGACAGTCGTTCTAAAAAAGCATCACCACAATCCTGAGTCAATATTTACCGCCAACAACTGAAGAGATGAAGTAAATCCGACTGTGTTCCATGCAGGTGGCAAAAGTACTGTAAGTCCTCATGGTCCGCAGCGCGGTGATCAACCTTCAGTTGTTGGCGATCTGTAGCCCGTTTTTATTATGCGTTGTTGAATTAGTTAGTTATCTATTTTTTCATGTTCTCAAACTTGTTTTATGAAAATCAGTGATATTCTAGTTATTATACTGCCCTTCGTCTGCGGAGTTTTATGCAATTTAATATATAATGTTAATGTCAAATTTTGTTTCGTCACGAAATGGTTGAAATATTGGCGATGAGACGTTAAACTTTAACTCACTCACTCACCTGAGTCAATATATCCTACCCGTGAAATTCGTGTCTGCAGCAACCCAGTCTTGCCGTAAAAGGCGACTATGCTTGTCGTTAGAGGCGACTAACGGGAGCAGCTGTTTAGGATCGCGGATATGGTTGATGCATGTCATCGTATTCTAATTGCGTGGATCGATGCTCATGATGTCAGTCACTGGAATGTCTGGTTCAGACTCAATTATTCACAGACCGTCGTCATATAGCTGGAATATTGCTGAGTGTGGCGTTAAACAACAAACAAATCAATATATCCAGCACATAATTAAAGACGTAAATCATTTATTTAAAATTGCTTATCAATTTATGAGTAATTGTGACGAAATGTTTGCAATGGAAATTATCCACAAAGCTCTGAAGCATTGTTATAACCCTTAAAGTAAAATTTACTCTTAATGTAAAAAAAAATACATTAAGGGTTGCCTATTTATCATTGTTTCAACCCTTAATGTAAAAATTACTCTCAGTGTAATTTTTTTTACATCAAATGTTGAAGTGACAGATATTACTTTTTTACATTAAGGGTTATTAGTATGATTTTATATTTATCGGACATTCTTGATTTAATTGATCGTTACTTTGTCTAGATGTGCAAAGGGACTATTTTCAGAGTCCCCTTCTACAACGACCACCTGGTTGCTTTATACAGGTTTTATAACAGGGTTTATGACCCCTAACCCTTTTAACCGATTTCTATTAAACTTACTGAAATGTGCAAAGGTTATCTTACGATACTCTACAAGGTAACCTCATTTCCGTTACTATTTTAATATCATAGCGACGGAAAGGAGGACTCAGGTTGATTGAAATGTATTATTGTCCGATTTAGTTCAATGTGTATATGTGTTAAGGAAACCCTACCACAATACCCACATGAACCTATAACTGGTTCGGCGGATGGGGCTTTTCGGTGGAGTCATTTTAGGCATAACATAATGGACATTTGGAAGCAGTATTACGCATATGATAGTTAAAGATACACCAGAACCATATGATATTAAAAACGCCAGGACTTCTAATGCAATAATGTTTTGATAAAAAAGAAGTACCGTGTCAAGTCAAAAATAGCTATGAAAAGGTATGAAAAATGAATATCAATATAGGTTTTATTTTTTTAATTTTTAAAACAATTTAAAAGTTAATGGACAGTAAATTGGTTCACTAGAACCGCCTAAATACATATAATTAAAAAGTCACATTGCAAAACACAAAACACGTTACCGTACAGCTGATGTCATGAAACATGTGTAAACCTTATTGCTGTTTGTAGCCTTCTACGTTCACTGATACAACAAGATACTACCAATGTACCATCTTCCCGAGGCAAGGAAGTAAGCTGACTTCAAAAGTCCATTTTCCAACCCTTAATGAACTAGGCTGGAATATCTGGCATTGATCGTAGCACAACCAGTGGTATTTCCTAGTGCATCATGACACTGGAGTACTTTGATAAAAAATATGACGACAGTTGGAAAATATCTATCGACGCCAAGTTAACGGTACACATGTTCTGCAAATCCAGCAATCGAAAGAATTCGGCACGGCAGTTGACATGCTATGTACGAACTGTATGTAGATTTCGCTACGGAAGTTTGATGGAACTATGCATAGACACGTTGGTCCAGCCAAAATATATCTCCATAGTTGGGCAAAGGTGGACATTGGACTTTTAAAGCTCGTGGCATGAAATGCACGTGCTGAAACTGGGTATACTGGACAGACACGACCTGAACAAGAACTGAGAGAAGAATGACAGTGAATACCAAATCACGTCATACGACGTTTGATGTCATCCGACCGGGCGAAAGGTCCGGGCTTCGATCCCCGGGCGCGGTATCTCAGTGGGCTAGCACTAAAATCGTCATCAGTCCAGACTAGTACAAGCAGCCACATACACACACATGCATGCACATCGCTATATAAGCACAATAATCTTGGACGCGACTTTAAGCCTCATTTCACAACCTCACCCGTCTTCACAAGGCAAGGGAGTTAACTGACTGTAAAAGTCCAGTTTCCACCCTTGCCGAACACGGCTGGTATTTTGGATTTAGATTTTGACTGGACTAACGAGTCTAGTCCAATCAAAGTAGCGCAACGAAATCGAAATCCGGTTCGTAAATTGTCGTGCAGATTTCGGTCCGCCAACTCATTGTCAACATGTATTTTCCATTTTTTTTCATGTTTTTAATCTAGGTGCTCATGTCATTTGATGCTCTTTGCGATGTAAGACCCGTTTTATCACAATATATGTCTTGATTATCGATCAGATCGTCTTCACTTGATGCCGCCATTTTGTTTGAAGCAAATGCAAGTGATACGAAAGGTGGAATCTGATGGGTCCATTTGAGAGGCTTAGACGCGACATAACTCGTAATAGCCACCGGAGGCGCTACGATCGAGCCAAAGAATTCCAGCCTAGTTCGGCTAAGGTTGGTTGGTTGGTTTGTTGTTTAACGCCGCACTCAGTAATATTCCAGCTATATGACGGCGGTCTTTAAATAATCGAGTCTGGAACAGACAATCCTGGGATTAATATCACGAGCATCGGTCCACGCAATTTGGATCGATGACATGCATCAACCAAATCAACGAGCCTGACCACCCGATCCCATTAGTCGCCTTTAACGACAAGCATAGTCACTTTTTACGGCAAGCATGGGTTGCTGAAGACCTTTACTAACCCGGAATCTTCATGGGTCAGTTCGGCAAGTGAGGAAACTGAATTTTTTAAGTCAGTTAACTCTCTTGCTTCGGGAAGATGCACTTCACCTTGACGTCATCCATGAGAAGACGTGTGATTGTGTGTGTTAACGCAGATCACAAACGTTATAAGTGCTAAGGTTGATTCATAAAATTTAGATTAAATGCTTCATCACATTGAGTCAAGAGTCAATTTTCATACCCCACATGTGTTTTGTTTTCTATGTTTTGTCCATATTTAAAACCCAACCGATACTTTCGTTCTTTCTTTTGCCTCTGAGTTTATGTGTGTCACAATTATCATGAAGTAATGGAATTCCATCCGATTTTCACATCACATAAGATTTCCAGTCCGTTAATCGTTGTTCGTTTTTCGGATACCAAAAAATGGACCAACTTGACCCCCGTGTGTGATTTTGGCACGTCGTTGTTGAAAAGAAAAACGCCAAAAGCCCAGGTTTCACATTTTGTGTGAATAACTACTTTCTCATTGCTTCATATCGGATAAAGAATTTTGGAACGCTATCGGTCAGGCATATCTATATGGAATAAATACATAAGTATATCTGGAAGTGAATGCAGGGATCTCAATGGCAAGCAAATGTCTCAAAGTTTTTAAATGAACTATCAGGACTCATGTTTCACTTTTTACTTTTGAAATAATTGACACTAATTAATTGAAGTAATTATGTAATTCTATATTCCAGAGATTTTAGAACATGGCTGGTGGGAAGCAGCAGACATTACCCACAGTTCAACCTTTAAGTCAAGAAAAGTATGATGCGATCAATGCACTCGTTCTTTGGACCTTTAAGGTAAAGACGAGAGAACGAACAAGAGAACAAAATAATGCCATCACTCAATTCTACAGAAGTACATGTGATTTTGAGGTAAAGAAAGGGAAGCTATTTTACAACAGCAAAGAAGTTGTTAGAAAAACACTACAAACAATTGTAAAGAAGCATTTCAACAGGACTCATGGTTGTGGAACAAAGCCATTATCACAAATTTTGCGCCGGAAGAACCATGGAATAACAGAAAGAGAAGTAATTTCACAGTACACAAAGATCTAACGACTACAATCGTGTTTTTCAATAAAAAAAATTCACCAATACATCAACGCAAGTTTCCATCAGGGCAAAAGCAGTAAAAGATGGCAAATCGACTTGATTGACATGAAACATGCATCTGAGGACGGCAGGACCTATCGACATATTTCATTGGTTATAGATGTATTTTCTCGCTTCCTTCTCCTTAAGACACGTGAAGATCCATGGTAGAATAGGTATCCAGCAACCCATGCTTGCCGTAAAAGGCGACTATGCTTATCGTTAAAGGCGACTAACAGGATCGGGTGGTCAGGGTGGCTGACTTGGTTGATACATGTCATCGATCCCAATTACGTTGATCGATGCTCATGATAATAATCACTGGATTGGCTGGTCCAGACATGCTTATTTACAGACGGCCGTCATATAGCTGGAATTTTGCTGAGTGCGGCCTTAAACAACAAACGAACAAACAAACAAACAAACAAACAATACCTTTTTCTGTCTCATACAGCATATACCCCGGGGCTGGGTCACTTGTGGAGTTTCCGTTGAAGGTGACGGCGTACCCTCTACAGACTGATTCTTCTTTGTTCACTTGAAAACTAACACAGGTCTTCTCACGGAAACAGAAGTTGCCACATTCAATTGGCTTCGTTAAATTCTTCTCCCACAACAACCTTCTGAAGAAGAGTTGATTATCAACCGTCGATGCGTGAGTGAAATAAGTAGGGTGACAAACTTGCATTGAATCTGCCAAATATATAAACAATAGAGTCAGGACACAAATGTAAGCAGCGCCCATACTTATCACGTCACATATAGTTTCGAGATAAAATCCTACTGATGACAGCTGTAGGGTATGAAGCTTTCTACCCTAGTCGGTATTGTGTTGCCAGACTGTACAGAAAAGATGAACAGAGTCAGTGGTGCAGAATCTTTAGAAATGGTGTGAATTGATACGAAACGGAAAGGGTTGTCCTTCTCTCTTTCAACCACCAAGTAGGTTTGTTAGAGTGCATACGTTATTAATCTGTTTACGACAGCATCAGAGTGTACATTATTGTAACATTTATTATGCATTTCATGGCGTTGCGTTTTGTCTTTGAAGCAGCAAATGTTGTCATTGGTGTTTTGCATTGTTCAACCAGGCCAGCGGGTAATACTAAAAATGGATTGCAGAATAATAAAACGAAACGTGCATATCTAGGAAGATCTCAAATGTCCACAAACGTATAGTTTTGCTCATTTAATTGAGTTAGATCAAAATACATCTTCAACAATGTAATAAACTGGTAATTATGACAACATACGGTGAGTCCTCGTAGAAAAGTCAGTGTCTTGACTGTGTTTTCTTTGATGAGAATGTTTCTCATCGACCTTAGCGTGTAGGGGTGTGGTGTCCTGGGTAGGAAACGACAGTGTTTTGACTACTCTTCTTTCATTAATCAACATGTTGGGCATCCCTCATAAACCTCTACTAATTCACGATAAACCAACACAGGATGTTTTCTGAAAGTGGATATTCGCGAATGTCAAACGGCTGACACGACACTTGTAAATAACTGTCCTAGCACTTCAAAAGTTACTAAACATTCTTCATATCTAAAGACTAGTATTATATCTACCTATATACCACTTTAATGTCTCATATTGCGGTAGTTAAAGAAAACAAGTTGTTTAAAGTGAAGCCCATTTCCCTCTACATTCTCAACATAATCTCTATCAAAAGTGTTTGGCTTGTGTTTGGTCCGACTTGGTCCGGGCTGTCAAAATCTACTTTAAACACAGAGATGTATCATCAAATGTGTCAAGAGACGAAAAAATATGCAAAGTCACGCACAGTGAAACAGTAGGGTCTGTTTATTTGTTGTTTAACGCCGCACTAGGCATTATTCCAGCGTACTGTAAATAATCGAGTCTGGATTAACATCATGAGCATCGATCCAGGCAATTTGGATACGATGACATGCATCAACCAAGAAAGCGGGCCTGACCATCCGATCCCTTTAGTCGTTTTTTACGAAAAGCAATGTCGCCTTTTAGGGCAAGTATGGGTTGCTGAAGACCTATTCTAACCCGGATCGTCACGGGATGAAACGGTAAGGTACCTATGACATATACAGACAGGCTGTTGTATTCAGTTATAATGGACACCAGACCCAAACACTTAAGCAAATGGTTCTGGAGTTTAAACAAGTTCCCTGCAGCCTGTGACATTGAGGATAATCTTTGTCTTGTCACAAAATGATCCAGGGCTGTGAAGGGGATGCACAAGGCATGCTGTCTATAAGAAGTAAAACAAATATGGTTTCAAATATAATTAAAAGTGATCAGCACCTTGTCCTCTGGAAAGTATATATACAGCGGTTATGGACTGGCGGTCATTTCTTGGAATTTTGCGAGAGAGGTCATTTCTTGGAAATCGAACATGCCATCATTTCTATTGTTGGGGTGACGGGTAATAGAAAAAGGTTTAAAAAATGCTAAACGAATATATTTCCACAGCAAACTTTATGAATTAACATTCTATTATACATTTAACATGTATAAGTGTTATTATTTAGTTAACAATTACCTCCAGTAAACAATAATAAAATCAAAATAAATGCTTCTCCACCCCGAACTTGGATGGGGCAGAACTTGACCTACATCACGGTTACTCACACCTCACAACTCGAGACAACACCTGACAATCTTGTGTTTACATTCTCGGTAACAAGTTATAGAAATAAGCAAGATGACAACCCCGATCGATGATGTGGTTCAACATTAACAGGTAGATTATCTGGGATTGATCGAGCCTGCTGGTACATCCATATGAATACCAATGTGACTGAGTATGACTGAACAGCCGCTTTTTAGGCTGCAGACAAGCCGGATATTTTGAAACGAAGAATATGCATGGTTTGACCTATTAATTTCAAGATTTCACGGATCCAAAGCCAAATAGTGACAGTACTTAGACATTTGTGTCCCAGAAATAGTAGACATTGTATGATTTTCTTAATTGTGCGTGTTCTGAAATTTATTTCATCAAGTTTGATAAGCTGTCACTTCAGTTGGGACATTGTTTTCGTGGACTTACGAAGGGAGTGTTTTTTGATGGACTTTCAAATCCCCTCCTGACAAATTCTAACGGTGGTGGTTGACGGAGATGGCAACGACTATCGATCAGAAAAAGGTATGTAAACAACATGTTGTCATGAATAAAGTTTTTTCAAACAATTTTTATAATGTTTTATTTTTCTTTCATTGTCGGTTGTTTCAATGAGGAAATAGCTTAAATTGTTCCGATTATGGTCACCATAGAACATTTCTCTAACAGTTTCATAAGCATTTCATTTGTATGCAAAAGATATGCCTTCGTTAAATCTTTTAATGTCATCATCGAAGCAGTCAGGGTTGCCGTCTAGAAAGCCCCAAACTACCGTATTTCCTCTATTTGACACCATGCCGTCTATTAATTTCGCGAGAGCCCTTGACTCGGCGTGTATTAGAGACCTGGCTGGTATTAGAGACCCAGCATGTATTAGAGGAAATATAGATATGATTTACGGTTCATATGGGGGTGATCGATCGGCAGCCATTTTCTATGAATCGATATGTAGGCTATCTATGTATTCATACGCACGTTTTTTGTGAAAAGGCTTAATATATTTGAAAGGGGTTTCCGTAGCAAAAAGGAAACCTCTTTTTAACCAATCAGAATCAAGCATTCATCAATGTCATGGTAGAATACTTAATCTTCGACCAAAGGTGAAACCTGAATTTGTTAAAGAGGTAAAATTCCGACGTCCAATATGGCTGTCATTGAAAAAAGCTATGTTCTGATATTGCTATGTAATTTTTGTTCAGAATGTGAGGGGCGGTAAGGAAACCTGGTGGTTAAAGCATTCGCTCGTCACGCCAAAGTCCTGGGTTCGATTCCCGAAATGTGTACAATGTTTGAAGCCCATTTCTGGTGTCCCCTGCTGTGATATTGCTGGAACATTGCCAAAAGCGGCATAAAACCATACTCACTCACTCAAAACGGGTATGGTCCGTTTTCTTGCAATATTTTAATGTGATATGACCATGCACTGAAACTCTCTCGAATTTCACTTTTGTTTCTGTAAACAGCCCCTCTCTTGAATGCCAGATGGTTTGTTTGTTTGTTATTTTACGCCGCACTCAGCAATATTCCAGCTATATGACGACAGTCTGTAAGTAATCAAGTCTGGACAAGACAATTCCGTGATATCATGAGCATCGATCCACGCAATTGGAACACAAACATCAACCAAGTCAGCGAGCCTGACCACTCGATCCCCTTAGTCACCTCTTACGACAACCATAGTCGCCTTTACAGCAAGCATGGGTTGCTAAAGACCTGTTGTATACAGGATCTTCATGGGTCAAATTGCCAAATTGAGAAAACTGAACAATGTTTCGTATTTTAATAATATCATTTTTCGAAACAAAATCATTCAAAGTAAGTAAGTGTTAGTTTATAGTCCATGAACTGGTTGAATATCAATGAATATTGATAAGTGTTGTGTTATACAAACACAGACGCATTATGCATTGGGTGGTCAGGCTCAGCGTTCCCGCCTGCTTGGGTCGTTGTTCATAATACACTGAAACACTGGTTTGTTTGGTTAGGACTCATTTAATTACAAACCATCGTATTACATACGGCTAGAATATACGTGGCATTGAATAAACAAGCAAATATCAAGTCATACTTTTCCATGCACTTCTTTCTGGGAATAAAGTACCTCCTATTACTTTGATGGTGTGGAGGTATTGGACAAGTCATCAGCATACGATATATATATACCCTATCCGGAGCAGTTCTCAAATGGAGTTTTGCTACTTGTAACTTATTTTTGGTTCATTGCCATTGGATACCTTCAGTTCAGAGAAAATATTTTGCTGTTTAGTATCTTTCACTATCCCAAATTATCCAAAGGCACAAGTTCACATAGAAACTTATCTGTATACCAAGTTTCGTCCAGACATATTCAAAGGATTTGGAGTTTTGTTCCGGAAACGAGAATTGCCCACATTTACAGAGGAAGTCCAACGGGTCGTCATGAAAACAAACAACAAAATAAGCAAATCATAATCAAAATCATCAAAAGGCACCAGTTCACCATGAGATCAGTCTGTATAATGAGTTTCATCAAGAAAGGTTAGACGCTTGAGCAGTCTGCTCTGAAAATGGATATAGGACGGACGGACATGCTGATCAATAAACCCTCTTTTTAAAAAAGGGGCTACAAATGAACTAGTATTTTGCTATTAAGGAGGCTAAATCCGCCGCCGCAAACGGGACAGAATAGTTTGTGATGAATTTCTTTCTGGACTGTAGATTAAGCACCGTCAAACTGGTGAGGTTGCAATGAGACCTGGGCGTGGTAGTCCTAAAAAAAGACACAGAGTCAAGATCAGTTGCACTACGCAATACATCCTGTTAACAATAGTCAATTCCGTACAGTAACAGGTTGGCGAATTCCAACGTTGTTGGCGACGTAGCGGCGAGCAGTGTGCCAGGGCAACAATTCTTGATCGTCATCAGTATGGGGTTGCCTGAGTCATGGTGTGGGGCGGTATCACACATGACAGACGAACTGATTCGGTTATCATGAATGGATATCCAGCGATGTGTTAACGAAATTGTGCGTCCTGTCGTTGTTCCATTCGCAAGAATTATCGGAAGAAATTTTGAACTGCAAGATGACAAGCCCAGACCACATCGTGCCCATGTCGTCACCAATCATCTCCGATGACAAGGCATACGAACATTGAACAGGCATGACATGCCCATAATAGAGCATACGTGGGATGCTTTCGGCCAACATAACCCAGCTTGGGATAGCTCTTAATGGCGGAA